CCCCAAAACCCCAAAACCCCAAAACCCCAAAACCCCAATTTTAGATTCGATATTGAATTTTTAGCCACTTGTTTCATTTTCCGGGGGATCTTTGTCAAAATTAGCTTCAATCCCAAACCCAATAGATCAGCCTTGCTTCTCGATGTTCTCATCGTATTCTCCTCTCAAGCCAAAGGTGAGCAAGAGATTAGAGATCGGGCTGTATCTGATGGAGACTTCGAAGTCTGAAAGAGAGCCTATTTTGGACCTGATTTTCCACTTCTCTGAAAACCCTGACTCAATTCCTAGGAGATATTCAAAATCATTCCTGTGCATTAAATCAAATGCTAGTTCTGTTTTCTCGCCAAGAGACATTCTGTTCATTACTGTTAGGTTTGTGTTGTCTTGCCAATCTGCTTCAGGGTGGAATTTTCCATTAGTATTATGCACTATCCAGGTGTTCAGCCACGAGAATGGATGCACTAAAATCCCAAAACATGTTTGCCTAAGAGAAAAGTTAGAAAGATTGACATCTATTTGAGTAGCCACGGTTAAAATACTCGTAAGAGTTCTTGAGTATCATAGTTCTAGGTCAATTTTGTTCTTCTCGTCTACAGTGAATCCGAGGCTAGCTACCTGGCTTTCATCCTCAGTCCCTTTAACAAACCTCACAGAGGTATTATGCTCTTGTGTTGTTTTATCATAATTCGTGTTGTGGTCGATTCTAGAGTTATCAAAATATTCTTTAAGGTTCCAAGAAGACTTAAGTTTTTGCTTCTTGTCTGTTTCAACTCTTCCTGAATATTTGACTTCAACTCCAGCAATGTTTTGCTCATCTTTATACTTAAGTCTAACATCTTTCCTGACTTCTTTGTCATCATTCTCTAAAAATAAGTGTGTATGAGTACCGATATCCCTGTAAAGCACGGAGCCCTTCTCATGCACTGCTTTGACGAAGAACCCAAGGTTGGTGATGAACCCCTTCTTGTAGAACTTTAGGTAATCATTGTCTATTTCAGGGAATATTTTCGCCATTGATATTTATTTATGATATTTCTGAATCTATCTTACTTTTAGGGGTTTTGGGGTTTTGGGGTTTTGGGGTTTTGGGGTTTTGGGGTTTTGGGGTTTTGGGG